AGGTTTGCTGATGGACTGGGCCGAGTAAAAAGCATGTCAGCTGCTCCCAATCCCCTTCTTGTCTTTCACGGGTTTAGAAAAGAGCGGATTTTCTCCATCTTCCCTCCATGGACTGAGTAGATACTGTCCAGTCAGCTCCTTGAACACCTTTGGATGCATTCCAAGGGATCCCATGAATTTGTGCATGTTCAAAAGGTAGTAAGAGCTCCTTAATTCCTTATTCTTTTACTGGGACTGCTGCTTCATTCCCATAGACTCTGCAGGGAGACTTGGGCCTGAAGAGAAGCCATGTCATTTAAAACTGAGGAGAAATGGACATCAAATACATGTCACTTGTCACCAGATCCCCTTCCTTACCAAGCCATAAGACCACATGTCCTTAGCCATTCTTTTGCTGCCAACAGGCTCAGAGAAATCTTTCTTCATTCCCTTCATGTCTCCTGCAATTTTCTACTCCAGCTGCAGTTTTTTGTCCACATGATGGAGAACCATCCTTGTGCTCTGAGGAGGCTGTCCTTGAAGGTTATCCAACTCTTCTGGGATCTTGCGTTCCAGGAAAGTTTCCCATGACAGCTTGCCAAGCAGGTAAATCCCTGATCCCTTTAAGATGTGTCCTTTGGATGTCCTTGGCAGTAGTCGTCCTGTTGGTCTTGGTGAGTTCTTTTAGGATCTGAAACTCTGCAGTCTCCTGGTAACTGCAAGCAAGGCTGACCTTGAACTTCATGACATTCAATGGTTCTTCTTCATTTCTGAGTAGCAGGTCCAACAGAGCCTCTCCCCATGTCTGTTCATGGATTGCCTGCATCAAAAACTTGGCTTCCATATAGCCCAGACAAGTCCTGGTTTTCTTGTGCTCAGCCATTTTCCTCCTGCAGCAGACACTGAGGTGGTAAAAGTCATCCATGAGCACCTGCACCCATAGTGTGGACACTGCCTGAGCTGGGCATTCCTACCTCCCTGTTTTTGCTTTCCTGCCCTAACCTACCAACTTGCACCTGAAATTGAAAACCTCACAGGTTCCTGCTCTGGGCTTAGGTCAGGGAGCTTCTGTAGCAGCTGCTGTTGATGGAGATGTTTTCCTTGAAGAGCCACCTCTGCACCCAGGGATTAAAGAACAGAAAATCCCTCAAGGGGAACTGCTCAGGTGCAGGTAGATCATTTGTGACTGAGCAGATGCAGGACGCTTGCTACAAAAAGTGCCAGTTCATCAGAGGAGACGAACAGGAGGAACCAACCAGCTCCCACTAGAATGTTGAATGTCCCCAGCAAGAACAGGAGAATGAGAGCCCATGGATGGCCCTTGATGGGAGCTGCCTGGGACAAGGTAAAGTATAGCATCTCTTTACAACTGCCCTGGCTGAAGTTTAAGAGGGAAATAAGACACTGGAAATGGTTTTAAGGTGTCTCCATCTTGAGACAAGACAAATCCAGTTGTTGTTGGGGAGAACAGATGTGCCTGAGGTTATTAATAGCGGTCAAGATGAACAAATCTCTAATATGTAAATGCAATGGCTCGTGTGTGTGCTGCTTGTGTTTTACCAGACAGCAGAGCTTCCAATGCACTGGCAATAAGAAGACTGTGCCTTCATTTAGTGTGATATGGGAAAATTTAAGCCCATGGCTGCATACATTGATGACTGGAATGGACAGAAAAGATTCCATCACAGGATCTTGTCCTGCAGATACCTGGGTGTAGAGGGGAAGCAGCACTGCCAGGGGACACCTGAGGATACCTTCCCTCACCCTCAGCCTTGTACAGACACATCCCTTCACTCCCCTGGTTCTTGCACAGCCAAGGAAGCTCCCTGCACCGGAGTGTCTTGCCCAGCACAGAGGTACAAGGCACTGTCAGAGACCTCGACTTCCTCCAGCTGCAGGAGGCTGTATTTCCCCGTGGTGTTCAGCTCGGTGGTGAAACGGCCACTGCGCTTGTGGCCAGCGCTTGCTTGATAGGAGACCAGCTGGGGAGCTTGTCCTTTCCTCTGCTGGTACCAGAACAAGCCATAAAAGTAGGAGCTCTGGTAGGTGCAGGTTGTTTGGAAGGTGTCTCTCTGCTTCACTGCGAGTTGTCTTTCTTGTTGGGTGATGGTGACCTGTCCCATGGTGCCTGGAAGAAAGTGAAGGTCAGCAGCTCAGCAGGGGTGAAAACAAACCAGGAGTGGGTTCAAAACCCAGGCAGAGAAGGCTCCCTGAGGCCTAGTAATAGCAGATGTGGAGGAGTTTTGGGCAGGAAATCGCAGCTCGGAACCGAGGTTGGACTTTGAGAAGAGCTGTGCTGTGTCCCTGCTTCTGTTCCTCCTCCTTGCTCCTGCTCTTACTACAGAGACCCAGGGAACAGCCTGTCGTGCCTGACCTTTGTGTGTTGGGCCACTCTATCATGTTTATGCAGCCTTGGAATTATGGGAAAAAGATTAAAAATTCATCCTATTTCCCCATCCTTGTCATCTTCAAGGGCTTGTAGCTGCTTAATGAAGAGCTGAATGGTAGAAATAGGCATCCCTGACTGTGTCAACAACCAGGAGAGAAGTGGAAGTTCTGTTGATTTGCATTGGAAAGGGAGAAATGTGAGGGTGAGAGAGGGATGAGACCTCCTATGGTGAGAGCAGGTGGATCAGAAGAGAGAGGCAGAGAGAAATGGATTGAAGGTAAGAGCAAAGCAGCAGAAGAGGTCTGAGGTGCCTTCCTCTGTCTCCTTTCAAAGAGTGTCTTGGGAGAACTGGTGAAAAACAACAGATATGAGCCAGTATTTCCCAGCGTATTCCTGGAATTCCAGAGTAGTTCTCTGCATGATCCTGACAAGGCTGACAAGGGTTTCTTTGGGAGAAGGGGAAGGATGCGTTGATGAAAACCATGACTTACCCAGCCGTTGCTCTAGGAAGACCACGAGGACGAGATATCCAAGCTGCATGTTGAGACCAACCTGCCTGTTTGTCGAGTGAGAGAGAGTCAGAAAAACACCTCCCATCCACGAGATGACAGAGCTGCCGGAAGTGACTCTGTTGGAGGGGCAAAGGAAGAAGTGGAGAGAGAGCAGTGATCTGTTCTTCCTGGGCCTGAAATGCTCCTTCTGGGTTTCTCCCTCCTCCAACAGCAGCACCTGTGGCTCCCTCAGCCAGTGCCAGTCTCAACATTTCCCCATTAAGGGGCTCTGAGGCCCCAGTGGTAGGAAAGGGCTTTTCCAGTGAGATCACAATAGAGGCCTTAGCTCCCCAGCTCTTCTGCACACTCACTGCTGGGCCATTTGGGAGGTCAGGGCTTTCTTCCCCAGTAGAGGCTTCATATCTTGCTCTGCAGTCCTCAGCTCCCTAGAGACACTGCTATTTCTTCCGGAAAGGAAGAAAATCCATTCTTCTTCTGTTTCTCCCACTTCTCCCCTTTCTTTCCTCAGCTGCCTGGGAACAACAACTCTCCCCCAAATCCCCCCAGTAAGGAGAGAAACCCTGCTGTGCAGCAGTTCAGGGGTTCTGGCTGTGTCCTCTTTTGGTGGGATAACCCAGAGTGCAAGTGAGGAACCTGGTGCCAGAATTGCTCTTAGATGCCATAAACCCAGAGATGACAAGGACAACCTACTCCTACTTTAGGGAAAGGACTGAGGGATGAGGAGGGAATAGGATGAGGGATGAGTGGGTCAGCCCACATGGGGCACCCATTGGGGTGCCTCTTGTTCCTCTCCAGACCCCACTTCGCCCCCAACCCACATTTGAACGTTCCCCTAAGCATTCCTTAGGAAGTGTTGCCCAGTCCTGCAGGAAACCCCTCAAACATCCATAATCCTCATGTTCCTCTTGTGATTTACAAAGCTCATCCTGACCCTCTTCAAAGCCACACCCACAGTTTCCCAATGGCCCATCAATTAGAGGCTGAAGAGCTCTGGTCTCTCTCCTTGTTTCCCTTGTCACTTACTGAGACATTGGTGTCATTGTGTGATAACTTTCCCTTTTAATTCCTCTTCCCTTTGACAGGAAAAGGGACTTGATCTGACAGCCTTAGTGAACCAGGTGCTCTCACCTTGTACACAACCTTACAGTGGAGTCTGCTGACCTTGCTCAGGTGTGAGAGTTCCTCTTTGCTTTCCTAAATAGATGTAACATAACAAGAGGCTTGTTCATAGAGGGGCAAACTAGAGCCCAGAAAAGAAAATCCTGGAAATGCAGCCACCAGCAGGTCTCTTTTGGGCAGAAAACTCAGAGGGACTCAGGGATACACGGACGATCCCAGGCAAAGCACCAGTGAGTCCACAAAGCTTCAGGAGAACAATGAAAAGCAGGGGAATGGCCTGAGCACTTGGCCAGGGAATCTTGTTTAGTGTCTGGATGATGGGTCTCAATCACATGTTGAGGTTTCCACAGACCCTCACATGAAGGGCCAGAAAGATATTTTCCTTCCTTGGGCATCTTTGTCTAGGACATAAAACCACAAGAGCAGTCATGTCTCCTACCAAGAGCACCTTTTCCAACAGTACTCACTGTAGGATGTTGAGGAAAGAGTAAGAGCTGGACAAGCTGCTGGGAAACTTCTGAACACTCACTGCTGTGTCCTGCCCAGTTTCAGTGACTCAGGGGTCTGAGCTGCTGTGGCAATGCACCCTCCTGGCAATGAAGCCAACAGCAGCTTGGGCTGCAGTAGCAGGAGTGTCACCAACAGGACAAGGAACCTGATCCTTCCTTTCTGCTCAGTGCTGGTGACGCCACCTCTGGAGTGCTGGGTCCAGTTCTGGGCTCCCCAGTACAAGACAGATACTGGAGTGAGCACAGCAAAGCGGTGCATGGACTGGAGCATGTTTCCTCTGAGGATGGGCTGAGAGGGCTGGCAGTGTTCAGCCTCGGGGAGAGAAGGCTCATGGGGGACCTCGGCAATGTGTGTAAATGGCTGATGGGAGGGAATGAAGAAGAGACTCTTCTCAGTCAGGCCTCCTTGGGACTCAACACCTTTGCAATGAGGATGCTCATTAGGGTGAGAAGTTAAAGGAAAGACACGAAACTGGGACCCTGACTGTGTTCCAGATTTATAAGGGCTAATGGGGTGCTTTTCAGCCCTGAGTGGTTCTTTAGGCAGTCAGGCCACGGCCGGGCTTCTCATAGCCTTCCAAGGCAGAAGGTGCTGGAGCATCCTCTCAGGCAAACAGACGCTGGTGTAGAAGCGCTGCCTCTCAGCTCCAGGTCACACTGCCAAAGGGGCCCAGGGCACCAGAAATTTCCTGTAGGAGCCTGGAGGAAGAGACCAAGGAGTCAGGGCATAGGAGATTGCAGGCTGTCCATGGTGATTCTCTCCTGCCTTTCAGAGGCAGGGGTCTATCCACCCCTCATGGGGTTGGAGAGATGCCACTTTACAGTCATTCATGTGGTACTTGTCCCTCGGTAGTGTCTGGAAGGAGGTTAGAACCAGCAGCTGCCAAAATTCAACAGGAAACAGATGCCTATCTCATCTCTACAGGGTTTTCTGCTCTCTTCTCCCCAGGTCACAGATGAGGCCCTTTAAGGGAAACTTCTCTGGGAACAGCACCTGCTGTAAACATCCCACCCTGAGTCAGACACAGCACCTCTCTCTGGCTGGAAGACACAGAGCATGAACTTTTTCCTCACTGACATATACGCTCCATCCTTTCAGGTATCATTATCACCCCTTTGCCTGGGGAGGACACCTTTCAGAAGGGTGACAAGAGAGGACCGCCCCAGGGGTATTTCTGCCTAGAAGGGGCTCAAAACCCTTGTGAGATGAAACATTTTGCATACCATGGGATGCTTAGGAGACAAGAACAGAGACCACGAAAGGGAGGGATCACGGCAATTAGGCCTAGAACATGGACTGGAAGACAAATGAAGACAGAGAGGAGAGGAGTCAATCCCATCTGACCACGTGTCTGATCCATGAGTGGGCTTGGCCATGCCTGTTGCTCTGCCTTATTTGTCCACCTGCCAGTACTTCTCTGGAAGCACAGTTATCAAGTCCAGATGGGACAGGAAGCAGGGATGATCTGTGTCTCTCTATGCTGCGGAAGCCTCTGCCCATGGGCTTTGACCGGCTCTGTCAGCTACTTGATTTACCCAGGCATCCCTGGGGATTTCCTGGAGCCCACAGTCTCTTCCCAGAAGCCTCCTCTAGCCTTCATTCACCTCAGACCTCCACCCCTCAGGGCAA